TTGCTTTGACGAAAACCATTAAGTCCCCATACAATGCGTATCATATGCCAAATCGTGGAGAAATGTTGCCCATAACTGTGTCTGAGACGCGGTATTGGTAAGGCATCGGTGGTTACAAGCAGTCTGAAAGAACTGGAAAGTGGCTTTATATAATCCGTACTGGAAGCGGAAGATGTATAAGATGTGATGTATATAGTATATGATTACTTTTCAAGATTTAAAAAAAAATCAACCGAATTGTGTACGTATTTACAAGTTGTGGACATACAATGATCTCCCGGGGGACATGAACATTTCTACGATCATCCACAAACTATACGTTTGCTTTGAAGCGTGTTGCTCGCAATTTCAAGGATTCTAGATTCCAGAAATGTCTTGAAAGATAAAATTCCAATCAGATGTTAATCATAAACAATAGAAATCAATCTTAGCATTAGCAGAACTTTCCATTGAACTTGGACGTTATGGAAAACGTAAAGGATGCACCTGAAGGGATAGGTATACAGTAAGTAAGAAAACGTTACACTCCACTGGACGGGCGTACACGGCAGTGCTGCAAATTAATCTCATACTTTGGTAAATTGATCGGCCACAAGGTCATAAGTACAGGGTTTCAACATATTTAATTCTGTCCTTGATTCCTAAACACTTCGTTAATTAACATAGTCTTACTGCTATCCTATTGAGGGCGTCGTATATATACTTGGCTATCCGACTGGACGCTCGCGCTAATGTGAAGTTTGTGTTTTAAACGATAATTGTGGGAACATTGATGATAGCCGCGTTGATGTTGACGATTACTGTGAAGATGTTTATGATAAAATTAACTGTCATTTATTTCTGGGGGTAATTTTGGTTGTTAGTTAATATGACGGTGGACATCTGATTTCGAATTTCATTTTGTTTTGATAAATCAGAGAAAGTAAACAGACTATTTTAAGTGTTGGTCGTGGACATTAATAATATAATATTTTCTGATATTCCTGATTATAATCTCTTAAATATAAATCTATAATTGTTTTGTTTATATACGTATGTGAGTACTTACATATGAATTATTCCAGTGTACATTATAAATGCTATTGGAAGTACTCAGGAAGGTTAGCTTATATTTGGCGATATGATAGAGGATTTTGATGATGGTGGGAGTTTAATTAACGTTGATGATTGCTGTTAATGTCCGAGTTTCGCAAATTTTAAAGGTTTGTTGTTGATGACAGAAGTTTGGCGACATTTTGAGGATCGGATGTTTGGTGACAGTGTTATTAATGTTGCTGGTGGTTCCAGAAGTTTGGCTATGTCTATGTTGAAAGTTTGGCTATATCTATCTTGGAAGTTTGGCTATATCTATGTTGGAAGTTTGGCTATATCTATCTTGGAAGTTTGGCTATATCTATCTTGGAAGTTTGGTTAGATCTATGTTGGAGGTTTGGCTATATCTATGTTGGAGGTTTGGCTATATCTATGTTGGAAGTTTGGCTTTATCTATGTTGGAAGTTTGGTTATATTTATGTTGGAAGTTTGGCTATATCTATGTTGGAAGTTTGGTTATATCTATGTTGGAAGTTTGGCTATATCTATGTTGGAAGCTTGGCTATATCTATGTTGGAAGTTTGGCTAT